CCCCTCCACTTCGGATTTCCAGCCCCCACGTCGGTGAGAGAGGACGTTTCTAGTGTCTGAAGCCCCGCATCTATGGGGTGCTGTGAGGGTGGCCGTGGCACTGGCCGGGCAAAGGCGCTGGGGCTGAAACCAAGGCCTCACCACGTGGCGCTCTGGTTGGCCAAAGGAAAAGATGACCCCGGTGACCGCAGCTTGTGCGTGGGAAGGGTAAACAGTTATGTTATCTGGCCAAAGGGAAGCTGCAGGTGTCAACGGACCCCAGGACAGAGAAATTACCCTGCGTGGGCCCAGTAACCCAGTGAGCCACTACAAGGGATGGACTCCTCATGTCAAAAGCATTTAAAGAAGGTCAGCTCCACGGCGCAGCAGTAACATGCTGTTCAAGAAAAGCTGGAGCCCTCGCGGTGACCACGGTTCGAATCCTCGGCCCGGTCAGCCAGAACATGTCAGGCACGCGTGAGCGTGACGAAGACCTGACAGGCTGGAAGACTGGAGGACAGGGATCCCAGCGTGACCAGACCCTGAGGAAGGTGCGCTCTCTCTCACACACGCACATACTACATCGCGAGGAAAGAGAGTTTTTCAGGAGAGTGAGATTTTAAGGGACCAGTGGTGCTCTGTAAGGACAAGCCACATGGAAGGGGTCCACGCCCACATTCGGAGACCTCCCTGAACACACTGGGCATGTGCGTCCCCACGACACAGGGCTGGCTAGGGCGTGGATGGTGACAGCGTAGGGCCCTGTTGGGGTACATTCTCTCTCGTGGTATAAGCAAACAAACCTGGGGTAAAGGGGAGCCTGGAAGCAGAAGGGTTCGACATGGCAGAGAGGTTAGGTTGCCATGCTTGGCTGAGGGGACCGCGTGGCACGTACAGGAGGTCTCCAGGAAAGGAGAGTGGCCCGGCCGGCAAAGCAAGAGGGAGCAGGGGCTCTCCTCAGCCCTATGGCCACAAGGAGCTGAATTCTGCAATGACATGCGAGCCTCAGGGGCCCCAACTCCAGATAAGACCTCCAGCTGACAGCATATGTACCCCGTGAGACCCTCAGTGAAGACGCTAGTCACGCGGTGTGCAGAACTGAGCCCTGCGGAACTGTGACATGATACGTGGGTGTTGTTTTAAGCCACTCGGTGTGCTGTACTAGCGGTTGCCTGGCTGACAGACAGACACAGGCAGACTGCAAGTCACTGGGAAGTGCAGGGCAAGTCCTGGTCCCAGGTGGGACCAGGCTGTGCCAGGTCTCTGCACTCCTTCCTGTTCAGCTCACTTCCCATGAGCGACCCCCTGACCATGCTAAACACACCTACCACGGGCAGGTTACCATGGAAACGAGCCAGGGTTGTTTCTGACCTTCCCAGCTTCCAACAACAGGATATGGCGTGTTGTCACCACACAAGGAACTCTGTAGCTGGGACGGGACATGAGCATGTTTAAGATGATGCAACCGACAGGAAACCAGCGAGCTGCAGAGGACAGTGCAGCCTGTGCGTGCCAGAGGGGTACCCCAAGGTGCACGGGGTCTTGCACTCGGTATATCCCAGGGCGGCTCTGGGGACGGATCACACGCTTATCTACCTCCAGACGCTCTCATTGAAAGGCTGAGTCAAAGAGCCAACAGGTGACGTGGTGGTTAAGGCGCTGGGCTCCTACATGGCCAACCGTGGTTCAAGTCCTTGACCTGGCAGCTTGAAAATCATGCCAGCGGGAAAAAGAAAAGAAAAAAGAGGGGAAGGGATCATGCCAGGTGCATGTGCGACCATGTCCAAAATCCCCAGAGGAGAAGGGAGGGGACGGGACCACAGCACGGCCACCCTCCCTGAGGAGTTGTCACTTTTCCTCTCAGGGCCTCTCTCCGGCGAGTGTGTGTGCCTAATGGCAAAATCCTTAAAACTAAATAAATAAATAGAAGGCTGAGTCAAGTCAAACAAGTCTATAGTCCACAGTGGAAATCGGTCCAGGTCAGTGTCCTAACAATAGCAAAACAGTTAGAATATAACCCGGGCCCCAGCTAAGCACAGCTGTGAGGGTTTTCACTCCTGCGGAAAGAAGTTAGAAATGACGGGAGGGGAGAGACTACGCGGATGCGGTAGCGTTGGGTTAGAGTAAGAGGTGGTGGTATAAACCCATGTCGTTAGTACCCACACACACAGCTTCGGACTCGCGTGCGCAGGCTCGGTGGGCACGCGTGCTCCCAGCTGTCCACCGGGAAGGCCCAGAGGCAACGGTACATAATCCCAGCCGCTGTGAGCACACACAGGAGGCCGGTCTCGTTTCTAGACACCGTTCTCCAAAGGGGAACGGCACTTCTTGGGCGAGTGGCTGACTCTAGGACTGGGCACCTTACGACAAGATGAGCTGAAATATCTCATGATACTAGAAGTTAAGGGAATGCTCGAATAAAAGACAAGAGCTTACCAGCAGAACACAGGGTCCAACGTGAAGGCACTCTCAGAACAGTCGCAGCTGGGACAGTCTGAGCCACAAGGAAAGAAGGACAGTATTAGATTTTTAACCCTAGAATACAACTGGATACAATCAAATACATAAATACATGGAGGGAAAGTGTCAATCTTCCTTACAATAGAATTCCAATGAATGAACATAAAAAGGGTCTAGTGGTTAAGGGAGCCAGATTCCCTATGACTGAACAAACGTGCAGTTCGAATCCCAACCCTGATGGCTTGAGAAGCCGCTTCAGACACACCGGGCACGAGTGCCCAAAAGCCCCACAGAGCAGAGCCGCTTCAGCCCCACCTACTGGAGGGTGTTTTGCCCTCTCCCTCTCTCCGGCAATTAAAACAGATAAGCAAACAGACATTCGGGGGATTCCGTGAAATAGTTCATTAATCACGGGTAGATTCTGGAAGAGATTTCATCTACTTACTAGGTTGTTGGAAAAGTCATGCCACATCTTTGCATAGAAAAACACAGAAAAATACCTCGTGGCTCTTCCAATGACCCGGTATCTATTCTAGAGAGGGAGACGGCTGACCACCGCTGCGGGCCAGTGGGAGAGCCTTCAATGGGCTGAGTTAAGGAAGGTGGGAAGGGGCTCCGTGCTCCTGCAGGCCGAGAGGGAGGCTGGGAGGGGGTTTACAGACTGCTGCAGGAGGGATGGACATGGCGCTGAGAACCTGCTCCAGGCAAAGCAGGTCAGGAGGCTGGACCCAGGACGGGGGGAGGCTACCATGGAGCAGTCGGGCTCAGCGAGGCAGACAGCTCAGGGTTCCGAGACGCCAGGCCCCAAGCTCCCAGCCTCTGCCTCTCCCTCCTGCATCAGCGGCTCTGGCCTGCGTGGACCAACCTGCCAGCTCTCTGCCACTCTCCCTTCTTCCTATTTCAAATCGCACTCAGTGTCCCAGGACTAAGGATGCTTACTCCGAGCACTCCTGCCCGAATCGCCTCTCCTTGCCCTGGCCCCTGAAAACAGCTCTTGTCCGTCCTGCTCTTCCGGGCTTAATGAATTCCACAACCGCCCCTGACTTCCCGCAGGCCCTCAGCTCTCCTGCACCCCGATTTCACAAGCATCCTCGGGATGGAGACAGTATTTGGCTAGTCTTCAGGAAGGAGCCGCTTTCTCAGCCAAACCCCACTGCACTGGCCAAGCCCCTCCACACCTCCTGCCCTCCTGCAGCAAATAGGCCCTCCAGGTGGCCAGGCCCCAGCCCTCACCACTGAGGGTCCTCCTGTCAAGTGGCATTTGTGGCTGTTCTCCAAATTGTATTCATAACCACTGCTTCTTTCACTGTTTTTTATCTATTTCTTCCACGAGAAAGATAGAAGATGGGGCAGCCTCGACAGGGTGTCGTGCCACGCTTCACCCCCAGCCTCAGCCAGCCCAGGTCCAGGGTATGCTCGCACAGGCCCAGCATGCAAGGAGTGGCCTCAGGACTCAAACCCGGAGCCTTTCTCTATGGCCTTGGCCTTGCAGAGCTTTGGTGACTGCTGTGTTGCCATGGCTGGCCAGTTCCATTTCTTTTTATTACTGTAACTTATTTCAGTAGAAACTAAAATGTGAAAGCGGAAAGAAAATATTCTGATTTCCATGAAAATTAAAATAACTGATCTAGAAGAGTGATTCTGGAACCCACATGGGACCCAGCTCCTCTAACCACTGAGCTATAGGGCCAGTGCCATAAGATATACTTTTGAGGCTTTTTTGTTTTGTTTTGCTTTGTTTTTGAGAGATTTTTGCTACAGGGTGCGTGCACTCACCGGAGAGACAGAGAGAGAGAGAGAGAAACAGACAGAAAGCCCCCCCAGGGAGGATGGCCACGCCACAATCCCTTTTCCTCCATTCTCCTCTCGGGATTTTGGGAACACACATATATGCGCCCTGCGTGAGTTTCAAGCCATGGGACTTGAACTGTGGTCGACTACGTGAGAGTCCAGCAACGTAACCATTACATGATCTACTGGTGCCATAACATGTGCTTTTAATGTTAACATGTAACGACAGCCTTATTTTTGAAGTATGAAATGAGTTAATTAATTTTTAAAATTTGTCTTAATTTTTCAATATAGTAAATATCAAGATACGACCACACACACACGCACGCACACACACGCACACACACGCACGCACATGCACACACGCACACACACACGCACACACACACACAAGGTAGTATTAAGGGATCCCAGAATCAAAAAGTTTGAGAGTTACTCAACTTTTTTTTTTTTCCCCCTTAGATGATACCTAGGGTCCCTGGGGTAAAAACTTTTACTGGGTGGTGTGGTGGTTGGGGCACTGGATTCCCACATGCCGACTGCAGTTCGAGTCCTGGACCTGGTGACTTGCTTTCTCATTCCCCTCCGACCCCAAGTCTCTCTAGTGAGCACATGTGGTCAACAGCAAAATCTCATAAATAATAATACATGAAATTAAATAAGTAAAACTAAGTAAATAATTTTAAACCACTTTTAGTATAATATTAAGACATTAAAAATGTGTCCACTCTCATTTTTTAGAGATTAAATGCAACATGATGAGTGCGTGCCTGTATGGTCTAGAATTTTCCAGAATCTGCAGGAAGAAGCTCAGGGTATAAATGTGTTTCCAGAGATTAAGTCAGCTTGTCCTCGGGGCCTCATAACCGAATTCTTACCAGCAATTTAAATTATACCTAATGTCATCTAGTATCTTATCACCACCCAATAAATCATCATTTTAAAATTAATAAGATTTTTTTTCTTTTTCTCTTTTTCTCTTTTGTAGAGGTTTTTGCCTTTGGGCACATGCGCTCACCAGAGAAAGAGACAAAGACGGTGAGAGGGAAAGTAAAAAACCACCTCCCTCCCACAGGGGGTGGGGGTGGGGATGGCCAGACAGCAGTCCCTTCTCCTCCATCCTCCTCCTGGGACCTGGGGCGCACGCATGTATGTACGTACGTACGTGTGTGCACACACACACACACACACACACAGTAGGCATGAGTTTTAAGCCACTGGGTCCAGGACTCAAACTGAGGTCACCCATGTGGGAGTCCACTGATGTAACCAGCTAGCCATCTGCTGGACCCAAAATACATGATTTTGAAAAATATAAAGATGCTGCCATTCTTTCTTTTATTGGCCAGAGGGCACATGTGCCCTGGGGGGGAGGGGAGCAACCCCCCCCATGGAGCATGGTCACACAGTCCTTTCTCCTCCATTTTTCCATGCCGTCAGAATTTTGGGAATGTACATACACATGGCCAGTGTGTTTTTCAAGTCATAAGGACTGGGATTCGAACCTCAGTTGACCACGTGGGATCCAGCTCTTCTAATTGCAGAGCTATAGGGCCAGTGCCATAAGATATGCTTTTAATGTTAACATGTAATGACCTTATTTTTCTTGTTTCAAATGAGTTGATAACTATTTCTAAATTTGTCTTAATTTTGGGGGGGCCAGTAGATGGGCCACCAGGCATGGTGGTTAAGGCGCTGGACTCCCGCATGTCCAACTACAGTTCAAGCCCCAGACCTTGTGGCTTGCTTTCTCACTTTCCCTTCCTTTCTCTCTGGTCAAATTAAAATTAATAATAACAAATAAAATTAAATAATCCTTTAAAAAATGTGTCTTGTTTTTTAATATAGTAAATATCAAGATATGACCACACAAGAGACAATATTAAGGGATCTCAGGATCAAAAAGTTTGAGAATCACTAATCTTTTTTATTTGCTATCGGACATGTGCACTCACAGGAGAAAGACAGAGAAAGAGAGAGAGAGATTGCTCCTCACAATGACACCCACACTGCAATCCCTTCTCCCCCAGTCCCCTCTCAGGATTATGGGGCATGCGTGCACACATGCCTGGCATGTTTTGCAGGCAGTCAGGTCTGGACTCGAACTGCAGAGCTGGCCATGTGGGATCCGGTGCTTTAACCACTGTACCACCTGCTGGTCCCATTTAGCTGTGATTTTTAAACACAACCATTTGCGGTCTAACTAGAGGATGTAGAGACGGAAAGAACAGGCCCTGACCCTGACTACAGTTTCAGTGGATAAAAACATATACACATACAATAAAATAAATGATCTAAAACATGTATACACTTTCAATTCTCAACTTTTGGTTGATACTGTGATCAACTACTACCCGAGTGCACTGACTGAGACAGCCACAGGGTTATGACGGTAGAAAACGTGGGACAGTCACCTCTCCTTCCTCCAAACCCGAAATTCTCCGGGCCTGCCACTGGAGGAAGAAGCGAGGCTGAAAACAGCCAGATCTCGAGTTGCCCGAGTTGCCCGGCAGGAACACATTCCCCCGGGCTGAGCATGCCAGGCTCCCTTGGCAGGCTGATCTGTCCTTGTGAAGGTCAAAGGGCCCCGTGAGCGCCCTCTCTGCTGAGCCCAACCAGGGGCCCCTCTGGGACGCAGCTGGGGCTTGGGGACCTTGTGGTGGGGCTGCCCTGCTGCACCTGGGAGGGAACGAGGCCCTGGCTGGTGGCAGGCCCGGGTTAGCAGACTCTGAACCCCCTCCTTATCTCCTGGCACTCAGACAGCCCGCCAGCCTGAGGTCGGAGCAGACTCGACATCTACTGAGGCCTGGCAAGGAGGGGCGGCCAGTGTCACAGCCCCTGTTCAAGCCTCCCTCACCCTCACTGGTCTGCAGGAGTCTGGGAGCAGACAGGGGAAAGGACTACTACAGAAACAACGGCCCCCTCCCCAGAAGCACAGGGACCACTGCCCCTTTCTCCCGAGTCCAAGGAGGAGGCCGGGACCACCACGATTTCGTCAGTACGTGTAGACATGAAAACACTGGGTGGTTGGGAAAGTCCTGATGTATTCTCCTGTTTTTCTATGTAAAAATGTGTCATGACTTCCCGGCAGTCCAAAAGAACCCTGCTTTGGTCTCTCGGTCAAGCCTCGAGGCACTAGCGAGCGCAGGACTAGGACACCTCGGGGTCCAGTTTCTTTCACTGTCAAACACGAGGCTGGGGGCCGGCAGGTGGCACAGTGGTTAGGGGCACTGGACTCCGGCATGGCTGACCACAGTTCGAGGCCTGAACCTGGTGGCTTGCTTTCTCACCCCCCAACTCTGTCCTTCTCTGGTCAAATTTAAATAAATAAATACAGTTTAAAAAAAAATTTTTAATGGGGCTGGATAGAAGACTGCCAGGCCCCTGCAAGTGACATTCTAGGGTCCTGTGGTCGAGCAGGTGACCTCCTCCAGGTGTCGGGCTCTTATTCTGGCACAGCTCCACTCTGCGGACCCTCGACTCCAGGAACACTGGAGTGGACTGAGGCTCCTCCTAAACAGTCTGGGTATGGGCAGGGGAGCACAGGGGAAGGAGGTGGGATGGGCTTGAAAACAGGACCCGCCCTGTGACTGACAATGAAAGGACTTCAAAAATGCAACTAAGGTACATGTTTATTCTGGTGCCCCCAAACTCAAAATCTACGAGCACCTATGCGTGTCTCTGCACAATACACATTTCCACACTCCTCAGAGACCCCGTGGACACCGCGCACTCGCAGGCCACGCAGGCGTCCTCAGTCCTTCCTGGGAACCATCAGCCCAGAGGGATGTCTGCTCTGAAGACATCAGAGCCACTCCCAGAAGGAGAGGCAGGGAGACATCTCCTCTCCCGAGATTCCTCAGTGAACCTGGGGGACATCCCTGGCAGAAAGGGGGCCTGCCCAGAAGGCAGGGTACCTGCATGGCGGCTAAGGAGGGGCTGAGACAACCTTGCATCTGGGTTCACAGCATCCCTCACCCCGGCCCACCCATCAGCTTCCAGGCCCCTGCCTGTGATGGTGGTGACAACTACAACAGCCAATGCTTGCTGCTGTGATCCAGTGCCCACGCCAGTGACAACAGGCCCAGAGGTTGAGAAAAGCTGGGCCCACCACCCTACAGCCTGACAGTTAAGGAAGCGCCATCCCACAGGCCCAACCGTGGTCCCCAAACACCTGGCGTGTGTGCCCCAAATCCCGCAGGATGGAAAACTGGAGAAGGAGTTGCAGCTTACCAACCCCACTGGGAGATGCTTTCTCTCTCTCTCTTGTCTCTCTCTGGTGGGAGCATACATCCTCTTGCAATTAAAAAAAAAAAAAAAGTTAAGAAATACCTCACTGCTAGAGGTACGAAATACCTCACTGCTGGAGGTACGGAGCCAGGATTTGAACACAGACTCCCATGGCTTAAAGGCCACCCATGCCATCTCTGGCCAAGTTCCTTCTCTAAACCTCTCTGCACAGCAGTGAGACTCTCTTTATTCTCCACTGGCAGATTTTTCTTCCTCCCCAGCGAGAGTCCGCCCTGGGAGGCAGGACAGGCCTTCTGCACCCCAAGCCCAGCCCAGCACAGAGCAGCCACTGTCTGACTGCACCTTGGAGCATGCTGGGTATGACGTGTGCTCTGAGAGTCAGAGAGAGGGACCCAAGGAGCCCACAGTTCTGAACTTTTCTGCCTGAAATAACAGCCACACCCCCCTGGGTGCGCTCGACTGCAGGAGCTGGCACTGTCATTACCTGGCTCTCCTCTCCCTCAGCCCCGCCCTCTCCACCCCAGAGGTCCAGTGAGGCACAAAAGCCTCCGGGTGCGATCTGGAAGGGCAAGGTCTCCCTAGGCCCTCCCGCGCCCACAAGTCCCAGCCACAGAACCATCGGAGCCAGAGGACCGCTGGTCTAGACTACACACAGATGATGAAACCTCACCTCGCCCAGTCGCCAACGGAAATGGAAGATCCCAATCCGCTAACCGGGAAGCGCCTGGGCCCTCCCTCTCTCGCCCCGACAAGGAGGTGAGTTCCTCTCGTTTTCTAAGGCTTGGGTTTTCAGCCACCAGGATACAGAAATGTCCGCGCCTGAGTAAGAGCGCTAGTCTGACCTTAGCAGTGACCTGACCCTTCCCAAGGTCGCAGGACCAGTGAGAGCAGAGCGGGACTGAGGTCAAGGCTTCCCAACGTGCTCCCTCGGCGGCAGGAGCCCCCAGATGCCCTGGGGCTCCTGGGGAAAGCCTTCGCACACAGACCCAGGTCGCAGACCCAAACCTGCGCCTTCCAGGAAGAGGGGTCAGGTCAAAGTGGCTCTGCCCCCCTCCCCGGGACCTCGTGCTCAGGGTCCTCTCGGACACCCAGGCTTGACTATTGGGCAAGTCACTCCCCTGAAACCCAGACCCAGGGAGGCACTAGCTCCTCAAACCTGAACCCGCGGCGCAGAGTATTTTCCTGGCTAATTGCACCTCGGCATCACGTGGGGGACCGGCTCGAACGGCGACTTTGTCCGTTGCCCTAACCCACCAAGAGGGGGCAGGCTGGGTCCGACCACCTAACTTGGTCCGCACGGACCAAAAATGGCCAAAGAGCCATCTCCGCGGGCACATCAGGTCGGGTTTGGCTCGGTGCGTCCTATGCCATCCTCTGTCTACACTCCGCCGCGAGATGTGGCTATTTGTGTCGGCTGGGAAGTGGCCAGGTGGGGACGGCAGGGGGCCGGGGCCAGTTCCTGGAAAGCGAAGTCCAGACACCCGCCGCCCATCAGCTCGGCCCCTCTCCTCTCTGCCTCTGCGGTGCTCGCGTCCACTGGCCCCGGCCCGCCTGCGCGGTCTCTCTGCGCAGCTACCTGCGCCCCGGGCGCCCTCCTCCGGCGCCGCATCCCGCGTCCTCCGGCGAAGGGACCGCGGCTGTGACTTCCCTCCCCTCGCCATCGTGGCACCGCGGCAGGTGCCGCTCCAC